GGGAGTCGGCAGCCCAGGGGGACATCGTGCAGGCCGCCTTCCAGGACACCTACCGCAACCTCACCCTCAAGACTCTCGTGGGGCTGCACTGGGCCAGCACGCACTGCCCCAAGGCCCGCTATGTCCTCAAGACTGACGACGATGTGTACGTCAACGTCCCCGAGCTGGTGTCCGAGCTGACCCGGAGAGGGGGCCCTTGGCAGCCACAGGAGAGGGGCACAGGGTCCCAGGAACAGGCTGCGGCTGCCGGGGCCAAGGCAGTGCCACTTCTGTACCTAGGCCGGGTGCACTGGTGGGTGAGGCCCTCTCGGGCCCCTGGAGGCCGGCACCTGGTATCGGAGGCGCAGTGGCCGCCGGCCTGGGGCCCATTTCCGCCCTACGCCTCGGGCACGGGGTACGTGCTGTCTGCGTCTGCCGTGCAGCTCATCCTGAAGGTGGCCGCCCGGGTCCCCCCGCTGCCACTGGAGGACGTCTTTGTGGGCGTGAGTGCGCGGCGGGGCGGCCTAGCCCCCACCCACTGTGTCAAGCTGGCTGGCGCCACCCACTACCCCCTGGACCGGTGCTGCTACGCGAGATTCCTGCTGACCTCGCACAGGCTGGACCCCGGGCAGATGCGGGCGGCCTGGAAGCTGGTGCATGGGGAAGCCACTGGCCCCTTCTGCTCCTGGCTCCAGGGAGCCCTAGGCGTCCTACGGTGCCGGCTCATAGCCTGGCTGCATGACTGAGAGCGGAACCACGGGAGAGGAGCTGCGGGTCCAAGCTGGCTACAGCTGGCCAATTTCTCACACCAGACCCTAGTCTGTCACCGGAGCACAGAGTGGTGCGGCCTGCCCAGCCCAAAGATGGGTTCCAGGAAGAGAAATGCTACTCCTAGCCGGCCAGGGAAGGGCCCCTCAATAAACGTGTTTCTCCAACTGCAGTGTCTTCCCCGGACTCCCGGAGGCTGTGGGCGGGCTGGGTGGGAAGGATACCCCAGGGACGTGGGAGGGGACAGCCCCCTGGAAGAGAAGACCCCTAACAGGCGAGGCCAAGGCCACTGGACCACAGGGAGGGGTGGGAATGGGGCAGGACGCTGACTCCTCTCAGCCCAGCATGGCCACAGTATCCCAAAACTTGTTTCTTTTAATACGGACCCACTGTCCTGTCCTGCCAGGGAACAGTCATCTCTCCAGGTGACCTTAGGGACTGGTCACTGTTCCAGGCCACCACAGAGCCTGGCTCAACGCACAAATCTGTCCAGGGCGGACAGCCGCACCCCTGCAGGCTTGGCCTGCTGCTGCTGCTGCTGCTGCTGCTGCTCAAGGCTCTGCCGGACTTTGTCCTGGGGAGAAGCGGAAGACACAGGGCAGGGTGAGCATGGCAGCGGAAGTAGGGTGCGGCCCGCCCTGCCCCACCCGAGCACCCTTACCCTGTGCTCCTGGTCCAGGACCTTCTTCTTTCTCTTCACCAGGCTGGCGGTGGAGCCGCGGCCCTTCCGCTTGGGCTTAGGCTGAAAGGGCACCTTGGCCTCGGGGTCGAAGCCCTGGTGGAGGACGGGGATGGGGACAAGTGGAATCAACAGAGCCTGAGAGGCAGCACCCACCTCCGGAGCCAGGCAAGGAGTGAGCTCTGGGGCTCCGTACCAGCCTCTCTGTCCGTTCTTTCTTCCGCTGCTCCAGAGAGATGACGTCAACCTCTGCCAGGGCTCGGGGGTTCAGACAAATGAGCTCTGCAGGCACCTGGGAGTGTTGTGGGGGAAGAGCAGGAGACAGAAGCCAGGGAGGCTAGAACCCTGCTCCAAGCCCCCGCACGGGAGCACTGGGGAGCACGCCGGCCTGCCCGCCGGGGAGCCTCACCTTCTCCAGCAGGGCCTTCACCTCCCACTCCTGCCGCTGCTTGCGGCTGCGGTACGGGTTGCTCTCCAGGCCGTCAAAGTTGGGCTCGGCAGCCCCTGTGGGGGGAGAAAGCTGTGCGGAAAAGCCCTTGCCCGTCCCCTGCCATCCCCCCAACGGGGCCCAGCTCACTCACCCGGGACCAGCATGCTGGTGATGCCACCGCTGTGCCCGACCCCCAGCACATCCTCGAAGGGGCAGAACTGCAGGCTGTGTACGGGGCCGGCCAGCCGGTGGGTGAGGTAGGGCTGCTCCAGCGGGGGCAGGCTGGCCTTGCCCCGCCCCACCCATATATTGACCACGTCACCCATGCCCGCAGCCAGCAGGCCCCGCTGGGAAAAGGCCAGGTGCCCCGCTCCCTGTGGCAGTGTCCGGGCGCTCAGAGGCCGGAACGTCCCTCGCAGATCAAAGATCTTCAGCTGGTGGTCCAGGCCAGAGGTGGCCATGTACCTGTGGGGACGGAGTCGGTTCTTCTGTCCACACGGGGCGCTGAGGCCCATGGCCAGGCCCAAGTATTGATCTGAACAGCAGGGAACACGCACCGCCATCACGGGACACACGGCTAAGCTCCACACAACTCCCCACTGACTCCCCTTTTACGGATGGGACCGGGACCGAAGCCCAGAGGAAGGAGGCCCAGGCTAGTGAGGGGCCAAGCTGGAAGTCAGGCCTGTTTCTTGAGGCTCTGCCCTTCTAACGCTCCAGACACATGCGTGGCTGGAAGGAGCACACAGGCCGGCCAGCCCCAAGTGCGCTGTCTGGCCACACAGACCGGTGGACAGTTCGGCAGAGTTCGGGCGCTCTGGTAGGTGGTCAGGAACACTTCCTGAAACGGCGGGCTCTAGACCCTGCTGGGTAATTCTCAAGCGAGCAAATCCAAAGGCACCAACACCAGAGAGCAGACAGTGAGAAGGAAACGTGGCGAGGGCATGGAGAAGCGACAGACACGGCGCCTCCGTGCTCAGACTGAGGACCCACGGTCATTATCCCATGTGCCTGGCAGGGACAAATCACAAGTCGGAGGCCAAATGAACTTGAGAAAACCTGTTTAGGAAGCAGGAAAGTTATGCACTGGAGGGCCTTGAATACCCTCTTTGCTTTCCCTAGAAGGAAAGAGTGTAGCTGGGCATGAAGGTGGACTCCTATAATCCTAGCCCCAAGGAGTCTGAGGCAGGAGGATCCCAAGTTCAGGCTAAGCTTAGCAACTTAGTGGGATCCTGTCTCAAAAAAAAAAAAAAAAACAACAACTTGTGGCCGGGTGTGGTGGCGTATGTCTGTAATCCCAGGAGGCTGAGGCAGGAGGATCACTGCAAGGAGACCAGCCTGGACTACATAGTGAGTTCCAGGTCAGTCTCAACTACATAGTGAGACCCTGTCTCAAACAAACCTAACCAAACCAAAACAAAAAAAAAAATCTTGTAACAATCCTCCTGTCTCAGCCTCTGGAGTGCTGAGATCCCAAGCATGCACCCACCATACCCAACTTCAAAATACAAAAATTTTAAAGGGGCAGGCAGATGTACCTCAGTGCAAACACCACAGGTTCAATCTGTAGTACCGTAAAACACACACACACACACACACACCCCAGGGAGGGCAAGGCTGGAAAACTGCTTACACTGCCAAAGTTTTTACTTCCCCCTGCCTCAGCTTCCCAGAATGCCAGGACTACAGGATGTGCCACCAAGCCTGACAAGCTGTTTACTTTTAGGAGTTGAAGTCGCTGCCTGTCCCAGTTGTCCCTCAGAGAAGGAGGCTGAAGGAGGACTAACCAGGCCAGGGACACTTGTTTGCCAAGGGACAGGGACTCTCCTTGGCCTTGGCCATGAATCCAGCAGGGGCGCTGAAGAGCTCCTGTGAGACACACTGTCCTGGGGAGGAACCAGTACAGCCCCAGCAGGGTCCTTCTTCTGACGAGAAAGCTGGGCAAATGGCCATGGGTACAAGCCAGGAACAAGCAGCTCAACTCTCCCCATCACATACCCACCATGGGAGCCCCCGGACAAACACCAGCCCAGTGCCAGACTGGAGCCCAGCCTTCACCCTGAGCCACATCCCCAGCCTTTATAACACATTTTTAAACTTGAGAGAGGGTCTCGCTAAGTAGCTAAGTTGCCCAGGCGGGGCTCAAATTTGCCATCCTCCTGCCTCAGCCTCCCAGAGTGCTGGGATTGTAGATGTGCACCACCGCACACAGTTCAGCCAATCCACTCTAAATGCAAGTGTCCAGAAAAAACTCTTGGAAAAAAAGGTCACCTTCATCTCTGGAGCCCTATGGCCCATAAAGAGCTCCAGAGGAGGACCAGCAATAAGCAGGGACGGACCCAAGACTGAAGACCAACATCGGCAGCTGGGATGTGGCCCAGAGGTAAACACTTGCCTAGCATGCACCAGCCCGGGGTTCAATCCCACAGAGAGAGGAGAAAAGAAAAAAAAGAAACCAGAACCATTCAGCTGTTTTGTTGAGACAGGGCCTCCCTGTGCAGCCAAGGTTGGCCCGGAACTCACAGCGACCATCCTGCATCAGCCTAGGGCTGAGATTGCAGGTTTGCGCCACCACACCTGGCCTGCTAGATCATTTTGGCTTTTGTTCTGTTCTGTTTTGTTTTGTTTTATTAGCAACAAACCGTTAACTAAATCCTGGGGCTCGCTGAACCAAGGGATCATATCTTAGACCCAGGAGCTCAGAGAAGGAAAATGGCAGCCTGGCCCTGAAGCCCACATAAGGCAGAGGTCTCTTCCGAGCTGGTCTGAAGGGCAGAACAAAATCACTCGTTCACAGACACAATCGTGAGGCCACTTGGGAAGTTGGTGGCGTTTGTTTTACTGATTATCTTAACCTGAGAGTATGTGAGGCGGTCTATGATGAAGAGAAGATTCCCACGCAGCAGTGTGAAAGCAGAGAAGCAGCGCGAAGGGAACAATCTGACAACAGCACCCAGGGCAGGCCAGGAAGAGCTGCTACAGCTTGGAAACTGCTGTTCCCTCCTGCCCAGGAAATGAAAGAAGGGCCGTGGAATGCCACCAAATCGCCAGAGCCTGGACACCCAGGCAGCACTCAGCCAACAGTGCTTTTGGATTCCTGCAGTTGCTGATGGCAGAGAAACTTGGGGCTACATGGCGAGCTAGAGGGGAGTCAAAGAATTCAAACCATTCAAACCGGGTGACAGGGAAAGTTGGACGAGCAGGAACAGGAAAGGAGAAGCTTTTTTTTTTTTTTTTTTTTTTTCTGGCG